AGTGATTGAACCGAACTGAATCCACACTGAACTGATTTCAATAGTCTATTTAGAGCTGCTTTACAGCAGAAATGAACTCTGTTTGCATTAATATAAACATTATTTCCCTTGACTTGACGTTACAGTAATGAAAATTTTATAGGAAAATTGCCTTAAAACAATGTTTCACCTTTGTGAGACATATATATTAATGAAACATATCTAGAAGAAGAGAGGATAGAAAATGTGAAGGAGCAGGAATTAAAATTCTCATTTTAATGAATAAATCCAGACAATATCAAATGTTGTGATTTTCCATTCGATTTATCGCACCATGGAAGTGGCGTAGCAAAAATCAATTCCAAACAAAAGCGATAACATGTTTCCCTCTCTCTGCGTGCCTTTCCGACCCCACAGCACAACTGAATGAATCCTTTGGGACTGTGTGTATGGGAGCACTCAATTTCATTCAAATGTTGATTGTGATGACTGATGAGTTAAAGCGGATAAAATGGAACGGAGAGCAAATGATGCAAATAGCTTGAGCCCTGTTTCCATTTCCTGTTCTAAATGAATTCTCGTCATCGCCAGCTTGTCTCCTAGGACTGTGGCCATATGTAAATCTAGCATAGAAAAAGACAGATAAGACTACCATATATGGTATTCTTATCTCAAACATTTAAACAAAAGTATCAAACAAGTCGAAATTCTTGAAAAACAATGTGGAGGCAACAGCTGCTTTAGGAAGTCAAACTCAAAGAAGAAGAAGTTTGGATCATACCTGTTTAAAATCAGATTCTCTGCCTCCCAGCACCTGTAGCACATAGCTGATCCGGTCTCCTCTCATTGGTGGAATACTCTCCCATGTGACCTCACAGGTATTTCCCTCTAGTTGAACAATTTTTGGGGCTGAGGGGACAAAAAAGAAAGTTTTTCAGGTTTTTCTTTACATCTTTTCTTCTTCTATACACTACTGTTCAAAAGTTTGGGATTAGTAAGATATTATTCGTTTTTTAAGTTTTACACATTTTTTTTTTTTTTTTTTAATTTTTGAATAGTCAAAAACGGTCATATTTCTAAATATTGCTTATCTAAAATAAATGTTTTCTATTTGAATATATGTAATTTACTTCAGTCTTCAGCGTCACCTGATCCTTAGAAATCATGATTTGATGATTGATTCAACAAGATGCTGAAAGCATTCTTTAGAAGTGTTGGCCCATATTGATATGATATAATCTTGCAGTTGATGGGCATTTAAACGATGCCCAACTGGCACTAAGGGGTCTAAATTGTACCAAGAAAACATCCCCCACACCATTACACCACCACCACCACCAGCCTGCACAGTGGTAACAAGGCATGATGGATCCATGTTCTCATTTTGTTTACGCCAAATTCTGACTCTACCATCTGAATGTCTCAACAGAAATCGAGACTCATCAGACCAGGCAACATTTTTCCAGTCTTCAACTGTCCAATTTTGGTGAGCTCTTGCAAATTGTAGCCTCTTTTCCTATTTGTAGTAGAGATGAGTGGTACCCGGTGGGGTCTTCTGCTGTTGTAGCCCATCCGCCTCAAGGTTATAATGCTTTGCTGGATACCTCGGTTGTAACGAGTGGTTATTTCAGTCAAAGTTGCTCTTCTATCAGCTTGAATCAGTCAGCCCATTCTCCTCTGACCTCTAGCATCAACAAGGCATTTTCACCCACAGGACTGCCGCATACTGGATGTTTTTCCCTTTTCACACCATTCTTTGTAAACCCTAGAAATGGTTGTGCGTGAAAATCCCAGTAACTGAGCAGATTGTGAAATATTCAGACCGGCCCGTCTGGCACCAACAACCATGCCACGCTCAAAATTGCTTAAATCACCTTTCTGTTCCATTCTGACATTCAGTTTGGAGTTCAGGAGATTGTCTTGACCAGGACCACACCCCTAAATGCATTGAAGCAACTGCCATATAATTGGTTGGTTAGATAATTAGTGTTTAGCTATATAGTATATAGCAATCCCACACTTTTGTAGCTCTACAGATGAGTATAAGTATAATCAATGTGGTACCTTTCAGTGTTTGTGGCAGAGACTTGGTGGTGCTGAAGGTGTACATCTCAGAAAATGGCCCCTCCCCCGCCTCGCTCACTGCCTGGATCCGGAAACGGTACCGGCTCGATTCGCTCAGTCTCTGCAGCTTAAAAGTGTGGCTCGGACCTCGGTAAACCACCACAAACCTAACAAGATAGTGAAGGCTTATTACAAACACGCACAAACAAAATTCATTATTATTTTTAATTAACTGGAAGCCTAGAATTTCTTTCAAAATCTTGAGTGCAAATGGAAAAAAAAAATTGATTGATGGCTTGTGATCACATAGCTGAATGCTGTTCTGTTCACTTTAATAAATAGCATGAAGGTAGAAAGAGATTGCGCAGAACAGGCAGGCCTTCATTACCTCCATTTAAGTGTCCAGACTTTACTGCTTATGTGGTTAAAAATTTTCAGAAGAGGAACTGAGGCTGAAAGCTTAAAACCGGGGAGAACACGGGCCTTTATTTGCTTCTAAATTAGCCATCGTGGGTCAGTGAGGAGCGACTCTGAGAAAGCATTAAGGAAGGTGGTCTTGATAACCCTGAGTCTTCTATTCTAATTCCCAACAGAGCTTTGAGATCAAGTCTTCTCATTAACAAACTCCACTTTAATGGACCCACAAACACAAAATGTGCTTTTCAGATTATCTGCTTAAATCAGAGAGAAGAACCTGCCCTACGGGTGCATCAGGGACAAATTAAAGTGAAGTGCATGCATACGCACAGGCGCACACACAGATGCATTGCTGTGAAAAAAAATTATATTCAAATGAAGAACATTTACATAATTTGAGCAAAATTCTTGATGGTAAGTACAAGACTATTGTTCTTAATTATGAACCAGGATTATTAACTAAAATGAAAACTATAAATGAAGTCTTCTTGAAATTTGCCAAGGCAAAATTTGCTAAAATAACTAACCACATAAATGAAATAAACTACAATTAAAACCTAAACTATGTAGACATTTTTAAAAAGAAACTATTAAAATGACATGCAACACAATTAAGAAACATATATACATATACAGTATATATATACACATATATTGCCTATAATGGTTGACGGTAAAGCATCACAATTAACAAGAGTTAAGCAATCAGATTACTTTTTTTCAAGTAAATGGTAAATGGTAAATGGACTGCATTTATATAGCGCCTTCATAGACCTAATGGCCACCAAAGCGCTTTACATTTGCCTCACATTCACCCATTCATACACTCATTCATTCACCGACGGCGGTGTCAGCCATGCAAGGCGCCATCCAGCTCGTCGGGAGCAGCTGGGGTTAGGTGTCTTGCTCATGGACACCTCGACACTTGGTCAGGTGGAACCGAGGATTGAACCACCAACCTTTCGGTTCGTAGACAACCCACATGAACCACTGAGCCACTGCCGCCCCAGTAACTAGCAAATTATCTGAGTTACTTTTATAAATAAGTAACAAGTTACAAAATGTTCTCATTTATTGAATGACACCTCTCCTGTCTGCAATGTTGAGAGAAATCGAGAGTAAGTGAAGAGGTGTTGTGTGCGCTGTTAACTTAACATGATTATTACAGTTCTAGACTAAACGTGAGCAGGGATTACTCATCTCACTTGCACAAAAACAGATTCAGTATTCCTCAAAATGAAAAGAACACTGTAAAACGCAAACTCAGTATATTACGAAAACCTGCAATATTTAAAATGTTAAATTGCACAAATATACTTTACGTATTAAGTATCACTTTTTTTTCACCAATAAGCAAAAACATACTCTTTTAGGGAGTAAAGCAATTTTCAAAAGAATTACCCCAACACATAATACTAAAATAACACTGAACGAATAGACAAATGGCTTCCTTAAATGTTGTTATATAATTTTACAAGTCTAACTAGTAATTTCTACATCTAGAACAAACACTCACCGACTGTGCAAGACTGACTAACATTTTTCCCTAAAGGTACCTTTACATATAGGTCACTTAACTATTAAAGCACACAATCAGTTGGTACCTCACTGCATGAAAGGCTTCATAATCTTCTAAAAATACATCTAATTTAGCCTAATTATAAAAGACTTCATTAAGATCAATTAGTCATCTCCCAGACTAGTTGATTATGAAACTATGTAGTTTTGCACATCCTTCAGTGCTAACCTCTGATTCCTGTCCTCCATCTGCAGAATGTAGGTAGTGTCATTGTTGAGTTGACTTCGGCTGCTGAAACCCCAGCGTAGTTTGAGACTCTGGGGTCCGACCGCTGCACACTCCAGCCGTGGCGGAAAGGGGGGAAGGGGCCTTGTCCTCACCGTTAGGGTCTGACTGAAGGGCCCGGGGCCCATTTCATTTTCTGCTCGAATCTGCAGGCTGAGAGAAGAAAGGAAATAAAGTGTTAAAGCTTTTTAATCTCATACAGTTGTTAGCTCCCTTGAGTTTAAAGAGACTAAGTAACTTCTAAAATCAATTCTAATTCTCTTCAAATGATTTCTCTTCACTTCACTACAGACTATTCTAAGGAAACTCTGGGTCAATGATTCAGTATTTGTAAATTTAAAGGGAAAAAAAATCATCCAAAAATGAAGCTTGGTGACCTTTCAGCACAGATGAAAATGATCTACTCTGGTTGAAGGGGTGGTCTTGCATTCGAATGGGGATTTCTAAAAAGTTAGACCACGTGGTTTTACATTTAGTCTGATGCTTTGAATTTTAGTCTAATGCTATCATAAATTTATGTAACATTGGGTCATCAGGGTGTGCTGGAAGTTGTTATTTATTTTGGACCGATAGCGAAAGATATCAAAATCTCTAGTCATTATAATTGAGTGCATTTGGCATTTTAATTGGGGATGTATTTCACTGTCCAATAAGTCAATGGAGGTCACTTCTGTGTCCTTTTAATGTTAGCATCCCTCCCAAGTTAAAGCCTTTTCCCCAGGTAACATTTAACAGACTTGCTTTCCCAAAGCCTATTAGCCTGACTAACGTGTGAGAGAGTAATTTTTATATGCAAATGTGTTAATTAGTTCATGCTTTTAAAATATATCCCTATATACAACAGAATTTCGTTTGTTTGTTTTTTTTGTTTTTTTGTTTTTTAGAAGTACCATAACACTCTTAAAAATAAAGGATCCAAAAAGTTTTGTTTTTTTTTTTGCCGTGAAGCCACAGAACCATCATTTTGGATCCTCAAACTGCCTTTTAGAGAACAATTCTTAAAAGAACCATTTTTCTTAATTTGAAGAACATTTTAATAACCCAAGAACCATTTTCCACAATTAAGAACCTATTGTGCAATGAAAATGTTCCATGGACATGTTCTTCACAGAACCATAAAAAAAAACTTTTTTTTTTGTTTTGTTTTTTGGAAACATACTACTGTAATACCATGTTTTTTTTTGACATAATACTGTAGTTTTTTTTTTGGAAACACTATGGTGCAAGAATATGACAGCCATTCAGTACCATAGTAAATACCAGATGTTAATACCATGGTAGATTGGATATAAACACACTGTGGTTTTGTATAAAAAAAATAAAAAAAACCAGCAAATATACCCTTCTAACTACTTGCATCTACCCAGAATGCACCATTTTGCAGAGCACATCTTGAGCCAGACATAAGTGGAGTCCATTTGTGCAGCTAATAACACTAATTCAGGGACCTTCTCGTGGCTCATCAGCACTCTTCTGTATATTACACGTGAAAATAAGGTCCCTGGTCATCACTAATGCACAAATATATATATAAAATTCTGATGATGCAGTATGCCAGAAAAAGAGAGATACAAAGTGTTGAACAACATCTCTTGCTCACCTGTACTCGCTGTCCGGCAGCAGGTCCCTGATGACGTGGCAGGTTGCGTTTCCGGTGGTGATGATGTCGTCTCCATTGAGATGCTGTAGGAGGTGATTTCTGCTCCATTACAGTGGGGCTCGTCCCAGGTGAGGGCCAAACAGGTGGAGGGGGAGAAGGACTCACTTTTTGATGGGGTCGGAGGGAGGTCGAGCAGGTAAACTCCGGATACTACATCAGGGACTGCTGCGGGGGTCCGACACGTCACCAGATCACTGTAGGGGCCCGCCCCTGCCTGGTTCACTGCCTACGAACCGAATACAAGAAAAAAAAAATGAAAAATGGCACCATGAGATCTAAACGAGTTACTGGCGCAAGGGCATGAACAACATGTCACTCACTTGAGATTACAATAAATAGCAAACCACAACCATCCAAACAATTCCAAAATCAAGTTCCGCCCTACACTTATTCTTGTTCGAGAAGCCGTTTCACTTTGATATACATCACAAATTAGGCAGGAAAAGACTATTACATTGGTTTCATGCTGACTTTAAACTTAAAAAAAATAATAACCAGTTTTGCTGATTATCGTATGACCCATTTTTACAAACATGCATTTGGTTTTGTCAAAATATTTGGAAGGACACGGAGTATTTTAGAGAGTACAACGAGAAATGAATTCTCTTCATTCTTGTGCTGATAGATTGTTTTCCATCCACTAAATGACAAACATATGACTCAGAGAGCCAATTAAATGTGAAGAGGAGCACTGAAAGGTCAGAACATTTCCAGATATAACAGCTCCAATCTAACATTTGAACTCTACTGCTTACATATTCTTTAATTTGCAGGTTTATTTTTGGTGCAATAAAACCATTTTTCACAGAAACAATGATAATGCACAAACTAGGTGTGTCGCAATATACCGGTGTTGACGACAATTGTGATATTCAAAGCATGAAATATCGACATTGTGTTAATGTAGAGTGTGGCAATATACCGGGATTGGCCATAACCACAATGTTTAAAATGAATAGGACTGTTGTGATAACATGACCCATAAATACTGTATTGCACCCGCTGCAGCTAGCACCTATCAATGTCGTCTGAGCGAGAGAGTGAAACACTGTCCACACCCAAAAAAAGTAAGCTCGTCTGTATGGGAGTTCTCCGGCTCACACATTTTCTCTTTGAGTGTACACACACCGGCGGCGCCATTCAGCGTCTGTCCGTGGCGCCCAGCAACGGCTCTTGTTCAAAATCCTGCCGCGACTTACATAGTTTTACATTCAATTTACATTTGTCTCAAATCATCGTAAATGACTTCACCCTGTATGCAATGTACATTTAATTTTACATTAATTAACAGATATCAGCTGCTTGAATGAAAATTGCTGACGTTTTGTTTCCTGTTACGTCCAAAACACACCTATGAATATTAATTTAAATTGGGTTTGATGTTTTTAATATAACGTTAGCTATTTGTTGATATGCTCCCATACACAAATGATAACCTCCTATATTCTAGATAATTAATGACACATTATTCTTTCAATCAACAAATAACCATTTAAACATTTATGCGTACACGGAGAGCTCCACAGACGTTATTTTATCTTTGCGAGGAACTTTTCAATCTCTCTTGCTTTGAGATCCTTTATATTGACCAATCAGCAGATCTCATGACACATTATATAATGAAAGCTCATTGGCCTTAATGGTTATACTGATATGCAAAAGGAGGTCATTATCATTTAGACTCCTTATGCCTTTAATGGCCATTTTGAATATTTATTCTTATTGGTTTGTTAAATGGAGTCTGTATTGCTGTCATCCTCTTCTAATCCTGCAGTAAATAAAATGTGCCTTGACTACCAAGCATGATAGAAATTTTATATACTAGTACAAAGTGCCCGTGCAATTAATTTCTTAATTAGAAAATTAAGTACTAAGTGCCTGTGCACTTAACATTCATTTCTTTTTGACTGATGAAAGACAGACGTGGACATCTTGGAGTAAATTATCAGCAAAAAGTGAACTAATCCTTTAAAAAACAAACACTAAATAAAAATAAAGCAATTTCAAATAAATCCACTTTCTTTTTGGCTTGTATTAATTCACATTAATGTTTGAGCGCATGTGTCGTAGTCCTAACAGATCATGAGCTACCTGTAGCCTGCAGCAGTAGTCTGTTGACGCCTCCAGGTTGGAGATTTGAAAGTAGGTTTCCGATCCACTGTAAACCATTTCAAGAGAGTCCAAATCACGTCCCCAGTCCAGCCGGTATTCAGAAATGTCTATCCCAGAGCTCTCGTTGTTCTGTGGATTGAGATCAGAGCAAGCGTTACACTCCAGGAAACGAGAGCATATTCCCAGCAGTATGCGACTAATTACCTGCTTGACATGGTTTCATCAGGACAAACACAAGAGAGGTAATGCATCATACGCACCAATAATAAATGAAACAACCTCTCAAGACAGCAAACAAATGCAAATAACTGAAAGCTTTGTCATTCAGGAGACATCAAGGATTAAAACCACATTCATTTTCATTGTGAACAAAGCATTAAAGGCCCTTTGTCATGTGAGCAAGCAAGTGTCTTTTGGGAAGAAGTGATAGAAGTGAAGAAACACAGACACAATCTGCCAACTTCTCTGGCGAGAATCAATCTTCAACACTTTCTGGGTGATCAATGATGGTATTATGAGGAACTTTCGAGTTTGGATGGAGTTTCTGTACCAGTAGAGCACATATTCTTGTACTGTAATTCAAAACAATTTTTCTTTCTACGAGTCCCAAAGCCAACAATGGCTTCTGGAAATTGATTTCTTTCTCAACGCAGCAGAAAATCATTCAGGTAATTTTATCACATGACAGTACGATTCATCATTACTGTATTGTATACAGAGTGAATGGCACTTCAGACTCACCTCCCAGGTCACATCAGCACAAGTGTGTGATGTCACATTGATGGCAGGAGGACTACACTGTCCTGGGGGGCCAGCGGCAGTGCTTATTTCCACAGATTCGGAGTAAGGTCCATACTGGAAAAAAGGAGAGAGAGAGAGAGAAGTGGCTGAGATTTAGAGCGTTTTAGCCATCTCAAAGGTAATGAATGGCCTGGAGGGATATCTGTTATTTCTGTGGCAGGTAAACCCAAAGCATTATACTCGCGATGGCTAAATTAGCTTTCTTAATATCTTTGCGAGGCAGAAAGCAGATCTCTTTATTGCCCTGAGGTGATGTGGAGGGTTTATTATAAAACGAGGATTTCAAGTAAGAGAGGAAAACAACTGGAGATCTGAATTGGACAAAATTATAGCTGTCTGAGATACAATTTGTCTTGACTCATTGCTTATGAAAGAGAATAAAAGCTAAAATACTTGCCAAGTTCTTTTGACTAAAAAATATATATACTATAGATCAGACAGACAGACACAAATAATCCAGAAAAATTATTTCATAAGGGCCATGTACTTGTTATTTTGCATTAAAAAAGGTGTCTCTGTCTCAGTGTTATTTTAGTATTTTTTTTTATAAACTATTAAAGTATTTATTAATATTATGAATCATTTTAAATTTAAGTAATTTTGTCATGTGTTTGTGTACAGGGTGACTCACCCCAACACTGTTGGCTGCACGAACTTGGAACCTGTAGGTAGTGCCAGGGAGCAAATTACCCACAGTGCACTCTGTTTTAGATCCACGGTACACCTCCGTCGGCTCTGAAGCTTCCTCTATTGCACACATCTCCAAGCTAAACTCCACACCTTCACTCTCTTCACCACACACAGGACCATCTGGAGAAATGAAGAATTAAAAGTGTGTGGGAGAAATATTTAGACAGGGACAGAACAATAAAAAAAAATCATTTAAAAGTGCAAATGTCAAATCATAATCCATCACTCCAGTCCAATATACACGACCACAACGTTAGGACTGTTTCACACATTCTAAGTGGCACATATTAACAGGTTATAGAAAAAGTGCTGAGCTTATTTAGAAGCCTTATAATAATAATAATGAATTAAAATTATATTTTAAAAAATTGTGATTTTATGACCAGGCATCTTATGAATTATTATCATGAATACCTCATAGAACTGCATATGGCAAAAAATAAAATAATACTTTAATTAATGCCTCATTTTAATAATTAAAAAAAAAGTGACCTGGGAGGTGTTGACGAGAAAAATGTTATGAATAATTAAAATGAAGCCTATAATAGCAGAACATAAAAAAATATATATAATTTGAAACGAATAATCGGAAAGATAATAATAATAATTAATATTTATACATTTAAATGTTATGTAATTTTTTATTTTTTAACTATTGTTCAAAAATCTGGCTTGATACAAGTCACACAGGCAGACTAAAGATAATTTATGCAATTTCAATTATGTACCTTCCTTTTAATCATGTAAATGACTAATCAAATAATTCACACACCCAATAACATTTGTATTTCCATAATTATGAGAAACATTCAATGTTGAAACCCATAAATTATTTTCTGAATAGAGCCACAGTTCTAAAACGCTTTTGGTGTGAAACCACGATGCAATCCTAGTGTCGTTACGCTCACGTCCCCTTGACACATGACTTGATAATCTCAGAAGTCATCCATCTACAACCAGCCTCTCAAAACCAAAACAAGATCTCAGTCCCCTCTACAACGAATTGGCTACAGGAAGGAGCCGATCAATCGCAGTGATGGAGAACATGCAGGAAAGCTCACGCCTGATGTCCGAGCTCTAAGAGTCAGCATGGATGCCTGAAATCAGCACTGCCATTTCAGTTATTTATAGATGGTGTTCAGCCTCTTAAATGAGCCAACCTTCACTCAAAAACAGTGAGTCAGGGGTATTATCGCTAACAAACAACTACATTACACCTCTAGCTCTCTCAAACACACACACGCATGAATGAAAACACAGACTCACACTAAATAGGGTTATGCAATGTGTGAACAACACAAAAAGTAGATACAAAGCTCTGTTGATCCAAGTGCATTCTGGGTAATTTGGACTTCTACAACTATAAACACACTGCATATTTCACCAGTTGATCTGGCAACAAACATAATTCGTTTAAAAGCACACAAGTGTCACTGTAACTTGTTTTTGACTTCAATTTCTCTTTCCAAATGGATCGAGCGATGTGTTGAACAGGGTGAAGTATTTTTAGATAATCTGTTGATTTTATTCAGGAAGAGGAGAAGAAAAGAAGAATGGATATCAAAAGAAAAAATAAGAGCCTCACCCCACTGCAAAGTCAGTTCCTTGTGTTTGACGTCACCCATGATCCTTGGGGGTCGACAGCGGCCAGGGGGCGGAATATGAGTGTGCACCGTCAAGTCATCTGAGCACTGCACAACCAATACAGCGAGTCAATAAACAACACAAGGAGTACAATGAGATCTTATGAATCAGCCAGTAAAATCAGCAAATGCACTTTGGTTCTCATACCTGGCTTTGTCCGCCCACATCAACACAGCTGAGTCTCAGGGAGTAGCTTGTTGCTGGTTTTACATCCTCACACAGATGTTTTCTCTCTGGTCCTCTATAGCGAGTCACCCACTGCCTCTCTGCTAAACAAACACAGATTCAGACATATCCATCTCAGTGAACCGGTCCAAAACATATCACAGGCATATTTCACATCAAAATCAAAATGATATTATTGAAATAAAATGACTTTTCAAAAGTCTGGAGTCACTAAGAATGGTTTTTAACCAGCATGAATTAAAATGATCAAATAATTAAATCGACAATAAGGCATTACATTTTTACAAAAAAAAATCTAATTTAAATATACACTTTTTAAAATTATTTTTATATATTAATACAAGAAAATCCTAAAAAAAAAATGCATCACAGTTTCTACAAAAATATTAAAAAACACAACTATTTTCAACATCGATAATAAGAAATGTTTCTTGTGCATCAAATAAGCAAGTTAGAAAGATTTAAGAAGGATCATTTGACACTGTAGACTGGAATAAAGATGCTAAAAATTCGACTTTGCATCACAGGAATAATTTAATTAAAAATATTTAATACAAATATTTAATACTATATATATATATATATATATATATATATATAAATAAATGTTTGGGCTGTCAAATGATTAATCACGATTAATCACATCCAAAATAAAAGTTTATGTTTACATAATATATGTGGGTGCACTGTGTATAATTATTTTGTATATATATACACACACACACATGGATGTATATTTTAAGAAAAAAAAATATTTATATATAAAATATTTATATTTATATATAATATAAATTATCTAAATCTTTATACAGTATATATCTTAAATATATACAAGCGTGTGTTTATTTATATATATAAAATAATTATACACAGTGCACCCACATATATTATGTAAACTTTTATTTTGGATGCGATTAATCGTGATTAATCATTTGACAGCCCTAATATATATATAAAGCACATTTAGTACCTCAATGCGCATTACAATAAAGAAAATAACATCTAAAAAAATAATGTCAAAGAATAATATATTCTTTAAATCGTAAAATCCATAATTGAAACAAGTTTTAATTCTGAATACATTTAAATTTAAAATAAAGTGTCTACAAATATAATGTTCTTTCATTTTTGGGATTATGTCACTTGTCAGATTCAACCGTTTGCAATTAGAAATACCTTCGGAATTCCCTTCTGATATCTCCAGGACGTAAGTCAAGTCTCCCGATCCACCATCATCTTGTGGAGGTTCTGATTTAATTATATAAAACGGTGACGGTTAGAATGTAATGATAAATGGACAATTAAAAAAAAAAGCCTATGTGAAACATAAAATGATTATGTTTTCCTACCCCATGTCACACAGAAGCTGTGATATGTGACTGCGTTTACTGAAGGATTCACAGGGGGTCCGGGTCTGTCTGGGGTGGTCTTACACACAAGCAGAGAGCTCGGTGCACTGCGCCACTCACCGCTGCATGTGATGAGCTGTAGAGGAGACAGTAAACAAGATCACACAAGGGGAAGCATGCTACCATACATCCATTTCTGCAGTATATGTACAGATCTACGCACTACCGTTCAAAAGTTTGGGATCAGAAACATGTTAATTAATGATGCATTAAATTGATCAAAAGTGACTGGAAAGACATTTATAATGTTACAAAATAATCCTATTTCAAATAAATGTTTTGCTCTTTTAATATTTCTATTTGTATCTAAATGTTCCAGCATTTCCACAAAAAATTGCAAACAGCCCAGCTGTTTTTAACATGGATGATAATAATAAAAAATGTTTCTTGAGCAACAAATCAGTATATTAGAATGATTTCTGAAGGATCATGCGACACTGAAGACTGGAGTGTTTATGCTGAAAAATCAGACTCGTCATCACAGGAATAAATAACATTTTAAAATGTATTAAGTAGAAAAAAAGTATATAAATTGCATCTTTTTATACTGTATTCAGGCTTCTAGTATTTCATTCCAAACATCTGAGAGGTCTAAGGGATGACATCACTGAAAAGCAGACAAGCAAGGTGACGTTTGAGGTTAAGGATACTTGTTTTGTGTCCCAGACAAAACCATTTTTGTGTCCCAATCTCCTACAGCATCGCAGGGAGCAGCATTTAAAACATTGCCTGAAGTACCTCTCCCCTGATAATAACGCAGTGTTCTCTGCCTTCTCAGAGATTAGAGTAAAAGCCTTTTACACGCAACACCACAGGAAATCAATTCACCTTCCCCCAACAACAGCTGCTAGATCTGAGAAACCGCTCCAGGTTAGCGGACAGACTAAAGTTCATTAGATTATCGCTAATTGGCTGATTAGTGGAGGAGGAAATGAAGCAAAAGTGCTTGAGGAAAGTGTGAACCCTAAACACATCTATGGATGGTTTGTTGATATGCATATGGTTGTGTATGTGAACAAAAGAAATCATAAAATAAATGTTTTCTGTGCTGGAAAACCTGTCACTCACCCTGAATTTGTATTGCGTGTTCCTTCTTAGGGACTCCAACTTGCAGTTCAGCTCCAAACCGCTGTAAACTTCCTGGAAGTTCAGTCCCTGCCAAAAACACATTGTTCTTTAGGTGTTAAGAAGTGAATTACGGAATAATTATGTCCAGCTAGTCCCACCCCAAACTCTTATTTTTCAATACCTTCCCTCCAATCTGGTTAAGTAACACGATCCAATCAAATGCTGATGGACAAAATAAAGCGGAGTCCTACATTTTTTACTTGATTAATATCCCGTTTCACTGAAATATGTCCAAATACGAAGGTAAAATAGGTAGCATATGTTGTTGCATGTTTCATGACATTAAACTGGGATAAAATATTTTATAATTAATACTATATAAAAATCTGTGAATTATGCGTTATATAATGATACAATTAAAACTATATATTAGAATTTAATTAAAAATAATAGAATAAGCCTATTTCCTAACAAATTTGTGGTTTAAATGTAATAAAAATGGCAAAATCCTACAATTACTCTGCATGATAAAAACATTACATGTGTGAAATTTTGCTCAAATATTTGGATGATGCATCAGTCTGCTGTGTTACACAAGCATTAGTCATGGATCCAGAAGAGTCTATTTACTCTGACAACTGTGGGCAAAGGTGACCAGTGAGGAAAAACAGCTTATAGACTTATCTCTCTATTAGCGGTCATATTCCCACAACACTGAGAAAACCTATTTGTGGTGAAAATGATGGCAACCGAAAGCCATAATTACAACTGCACTAGGGGGATTATGTAATGCGTATAGTAGGGCTGAGTTCAACACCTTGGTCTCATCCTGCATCTCCAGGGTGTACATGACCACCTCCTCAGCACTGCAGCTGTTTGGTCGAGTCCACTCCAGCTTAACCCAGGACGGACCTGCCTTTATCAGCCGTGGAGGCAAGGAAATCTGTGGGAGACTTCCTGTGGTGTAGAAGACGACTTCTGTGCTGAACCCACTGGAGAAGAAGGAAACAGTAAACAGTAATAAATCCCATCCTTTCCCATCATATAAAGATTATGACATATCCGTGTCTCAAAGCGTGCAAGAAGCACAAAGTTATAAATTGTTTAGAATTTTTCCCCAGGGAAAACAACACTCACAGGGAGAAGAATTTTCTCATTTACCACACCATTAAACACAAGGACACCACAGGGCTAAAATTCCATTAACTGCATACAACCAAAAGGACATATGCTGGTGGGTTATATTTTACAGTATGATTTATTGCAACAAAATAAGAATCATAAAAAATTTCACCTAAACCTTGGAGAGAACCAGAAAAAATAATAACTCAGAAATAAAAACTATGGCAGTATCATGATAAATAGTGGTATCGGATGGAAATATTTCTATATTGCTGATAGATCATTACATTCATTTACCAGAGATTTTTTGATAGTACTCCAAGGTACTTCAAAGAACAACGGACTTATCCTAATAAATATCAAAAACACATGGTATGTATTGCTGGGTATAAAATAATAATAATAATAATAAAATATAGCTGCGAGCAGTGATGACAGGCCCAAGCCGCTGGCTTTGGCCCTTTCATCGCTGCTCGCAGCTATATTTTATTATTATTATTATTATTTTATACCCAGCAATACATACAATACATATTTCCTCTTACGACGAACGCACTGCTGAAGTTTCACCAAGATCAGTTAATGTATAAAGAAGTTATAACACACTTCCTGTTTCTCTTTTCGCGCCATAATTTTGTTTCCTCGCCACGGCCAAACCGTTCGAGATATCAAAAATCCCCTCACAAATTTTCATCCTAAATGTCTTGACTTCACACTGACCGAGTTTCGTGCCGTGTGTTTGAATTTTCTAGGAGGAGTATTTCAAATTCCATTGCATGCGTTTTCCAAACAACCCTAAATAGCTGACTTCCTGTTGGGCTGGGGGAAAAAGTACGAGTGTGAAGTATATATGAACCGATGAGATCTATATGTGTACCGAGTTTCATATTATTACATGCAAGCGTGTTTGATTTATGGACCAAGTTTTCGGAGCCCTGCCATGCCTGAGCCCTGCCATACCAGCTTCAGCCCGGCCCTGATGGCCACGGGTTCTGACCCATGTGCAAAGTTTCAAGAGTTTTCGAGCATGTTAAGGGCCCCAAAAGTGCCCGAATAATAGATAGAACATTTAAAAAAAAATGTATCCTAAGGAAAACAATAATAAATATAGTATTACTGGTTGATTTTTTTTTTTTTAATTGTGTGTGTGTGTCAATAACATACAGACAAATAAACAAACCTGGAGCCAATATCATTTAGCGCTGCCACTCGAAAAGTGTACCCGACAGCAGGGCACAACCTCATTACTTTGCAGTGTCGCTGGTGTCCAACGTAATATTCGCGGAAAATGCTGTTCTTTTTCCCCTGAAAAAGTAACGAGGATAAAACGATGCAGTTAGGAATGACAAAGAGGATTACACATATAAAAAAACTCTTAAAACAAGCAGAAAAGAGTGAAAAGACCAGCAGGAGCCATATGCTCTGTCAGAACAGAACACTCCTCACATGAAAAGAACAACAAAAACTAAATTGCTACCGGAAGCTGTGCTAATTGTCACAACAGGAGCCAGAATATAATTAAAGTTAAAAGGCAGAGGTATAGAGAATGGATTCTGTGGAGAGGAAGCCCTGCCAGCCACAGCTGAGTTTTAATGAACTCGTATTGAGCCAGAAAATAAAGTAGACTGTGTCTGTGGCGTTACTCACCCAAATGCCATCTAAAATATTTATGTTTTTTTCTTCAGTGGAAAATAAATTAAGTTTTTTGAGGAAAACATTTTAAGATTTTTCTCCACACAATGGATTTTAACGGTAACTAAATTGTTGAAGTCCAAAATGTATCAATGCAGTTTCAAAGAGCTTTGAAGAGCTCCGAAGGGCTCTGCACGATGCCAGCTGAGGAATAGGGTCTTATTTAGCGAAAAGATCTGTCCTTTTCTAAAAAGAAATAAAAATGTCTATACTTTTTAACCACGATTGTTCGTCTTGTGCTGATCCGCGACGCAATAGGCTTTACGTAATCAAATGGTCTTTTTGTGTGCGCATCCTAGATGTTTAAAACAATTGCGTGTTACTTTCGCCTACGTCCAGCTTGACCTTTCCAAAGTGATTACGTAATGCCTGGCGTGTCGCAGACCAGCAAAAAACTAACAATTGTGGTTAAAAAGTATTTATTTTTCGAATATTGTTTTTAAAGCCCTTTGAAACTGCTTTGATTTGGACAATTTTGTTACCGTTGAAGTCTATTGTGTGGAGAAAAATCCTGAAATGTTTTCCTGGTCTGGGGTGTTCACCGATAGGCTCACAAAAATTGCTGCATAAGATACTTTCCAACAGGTTTTATTGTAGTTTTTGTCCAAGTCAAGTCAATGAAGTTGGACAAAAACTACATCCATGAAAACGATCTTAAAACATGTATTTAAGTGTAAAATACCGAACTCGTCCTTTAATTTCTTTTCCACTGAAGAAAGAAAGAAACACATGAACATCTTGGATGGCATTGGGGTGAATAAATTATCAGGCAATTAGGCAAATAATGAAGAAATAAGTGAAAAGAAGAAATAAACTTAAATGGTTGAGGGATAGATGACACACTCAGGATATTACCAAATTAATTTAAACAGGTGATGTGGTACTGTACATACCTCATCCCATTCTAGAACATAATTGGTGATTTTTGAGCCGTTGTCCACAGGGGGCTGCAATAAAAATGAGAAATTACTAAATATCATTCAAAAGTTTGAGGTTGGTAAGAGTTTAAAATGTTTTTGAAAGAAGTCTTTTACATTATGCACACCAATGATGCATCTATTTGATCTAAATATTATACATAATTATACATTTTCAATGAAACAATAAAACCAAATAAGTCAATATTGATGAGAGGTCATACATAACTGTGAGGCATTACTTGGCATGAAGCAACACAGAATGATCAATAAATACTACTAAATTAATAATCAGGATCAATAATCAGTCTATTCCACCATCAAGTAATAAAGTTCAGAAGCCCAACCATTAAAGTTTTAATGGTTTGTAGCAACTCAGCACAATGATACAGAACGTACCTTCCACTGTAATGTGAGGGAGCTCTTGGTGCGATGGGACAGTCTGGGGGGTAGAGGGGTGTCAGGAGGGGCACTCTGTGTAGTGAAGGCCCTCGCATCCGAACTGGGACCCTTGACAGAGTTACACACCGTGCTTACTCTGTAAAACAGAGTAGAGTAATTCATAGAAAACGGCTGTTGGCAATTTAAATGAATCATTTAGTGATAACAATGAATGTACTTAAATGCTGCATCCACTGTTTTTACAAGAAGAACGCTTTGTGCCAATCTGCCCTTTAGATCCAGGAAATTCACATTTAAATCCAAATCCATTTTTACGCATTCATTATCTTTAATTTACTCTTGTTAATCAGATCATTCATCTCCCTTCAGCACTCAAATGAAATTCAAAGTGCTCGGTTAATGGAGCGTTTCATCTCATTTGTAAGTCGTTCAGTTAAAAATGTGTGCTAAATTAATAAATGCAAATATAAAACACTACTCTTACCGGATGTGATAGTCTGTGGCTGGTCTGAGGTCAGTGAGGGTATACTGGAGTTCCTCACCACTGAAAAAAAGATAGACTAAGAGTGACAATCTGTGTGTGAGAGTAGATGGATGAAGCATCTGTAAAACCTCCTGCAACTTTCAAATCAATTCATAACAGCCTTCATGATTTGCATTGGGGACCAAAAATGAAAAAAAAAAAAAAAGCTGTAGATGTGCATAAGGTTAATTTCCTAACCAGGTGGGCAAGATTACAAGACTATTATGTAACTATACTAAACTATAAAGACAAAAAAATCATATTGAGAATGACAAAAATTACGATTCCCCCATGATTCTGAATCAAACTAAACAAAATCGCATGTCATTTACTAGAGGTTCTGACAATGTTAAATGCTGTTAAAGTTACACCGATCTTTAAACGATTAATCGTGCAGATCTAATAAATTAATAAAAAGTGCAGTACACACAAGAGCCTTACCTGTACACAACCTTGTATTTCCCTTCACGGCCCTTGTCCTTGAGCTGGAGCTCGTAACTACAGGAAGGGACCCGTCCAGATGATCCAGACAAGAAAACAGAAGTCCACGACACAAGTGCGGAGTGGGCCTGTACATTAGACACCTGAGGAGCCAAAATAAAGACACATTCAAGTTTCATTATTAAACAAACACTTGAAATTTAGATTTTAATGTTTACTTAAGAGTAAAAAGAGTCTGACAACAAGCCTGAAACAACTTTTTTATAGCCTGGAAGATTTAAAGTAGGAAATAAAATGCTGGCTGGCCCTTTGAATTCTAATTTCTAATTATTTATGATGTGAGATACATCAATAAATCGAGGAAGCTGTAAATAGTAGTTAATTTGAGTGCCAATGCTACTGCAGGCTCATCTTCAGAGTATGAAGCATCAGTCAGAACACCGTAGAGCTGACGTCCTTCACAGTTGATCAGAGCGGAGAGACTACTCGCAAAACAAAAACATCTGCATCTGAAGAGGCTTCAAACCAGACTATTTACCTAACACTTTCCCTTTTGCATTCAAATGAAGGGATTTAGTATTAAAGTAGAACAACAAAAGAGGATCACCTAGTGATCATCTTGACAAAAAAGGCACTTAAATGGAAAAACGGTATGTTTAGTGGCTCCAAATATTATTTGGAGACTCAATCTACACTAAATAAACACAATCATAAAGATTTGTGATTATTATATAATAAAATATTTTATCAAAAAAAAAAATGTATGTATGTATGCATGCATGTATGTGTATATATATTTTAATTAATTATGTATATATAATCTCAAACAAAAGATATCGAATCAGGTTGATACAGTACTTTGAATTATTGTCTTCACACGCTAACATTCTCTGGCGTACTCACTATAGAGGCACATTGCTGTTAGTTGTTCACTTCAGGCTGCTTTTTACTTTTGTTTTTTTCTGCAGCGTGTTTTTGCAGGGGTCAAATTGACCTTGAAATAATACATTTACACAGAATTAGGGTTTTCTGGACCCTGAGTCATATTTGCAATTTTTTTTTTAATACCTGCTCCCTAGGTGGATATATAAGTCACTTTGCCTCAAGATCAAACAGGAGTGGTTCATTACATCTATAAATAGGTTTTACTAACATATGAAAACAAGTCCAAATGCTTTCTGATCTAGTATTTTTTAGTGTTTCATCATTTAAAACCTTACAAAATTGTTGTGCTTGTGCTAGAACTTGTGACATTCATGCATTTTAAATACTTTGGGGCCCCTGTATGTTACGGTCACATTTTAAAGCTTGAATGCACATTTAATTGTGTTTCTACCTACAGAAAGTGTTGAAGATTATGAAAATGAGGTAGCAGAGAGGTGAACCATTTAGTAATTCATTAACTGCTGCTGCCCCCTTGTGAACGTAAACGGAAGTGTTTCACTCTGACCACCTCTATACAATTACAATCCTTACATGTCAAGTGTTATTATTTTGTTGTTCAGGTAGCAAGGGTGTTCTGGATGGTTGCCAAGTCTAAAGAGCCCACCTTTTGACAATCTGATCCCAGGTTATTTATTTATTTATTTTATTTACTGTTTATTTGAATAGGGACAGATACAAAAAAACAGATTATTACATGAAGAACAATCCGATGCCTGTATCACAGTGTTTATAGCCAAGGCTAATTTCTTATAAACCAGTTTTTATAAACCAATTTTATTGTCCACTATACAAAAAAACATACTATCAACTGCTAAGAAAGGAAACAGAACAACAAATACTGATAGAAATGATTTAAATTAAATGATAAATTAAACAAAACTTCAATTGCTTTTCTGCATTTCTGAGTTTGCATCCAAATCTAGTTGTCTAATAAACCTGGTATTGTATATTATAAATTTTGCTTTGTCTTTGACAAACTGTTTAGTTCCTCTTTTGTAACTCCCTTTGGATAAAAGCGTCTGCTAAATGGGTAAATGTAAATCATAATACTTAGGATTATGTTCATATTTCTAATACGAAGCACTAGCAATAACATATTTAGAGTGGAGCAATAATCCTGCAGGACAAATAAAACAATCACGGGCAAAAGCGTGAAATTATGATATTAAAGCTTTTCGATTTGCTGCACAAGAGATGATTTGTGAGAGAACATGTTTTGAATCACCCACCTGGGGCTTGTCCATTCCTGATGGCACAGCCTGAACTCGTCTCGTGTCCACATCATGATCTGCACAGAAAAGAGATTAAACAGCCATAAATCTGAGTTTGTGTGTGCCTGTAACATCTTCATGCTTGTTTGGAAAGAGAAAGACACACAAAAGAACATAAAATCAGTATCAGCAGACAGAGACACAGATCTGAGGCATTGGAGACGTCCTGATGGATGGAGCTGTGGCGGGAAGGGAAGTGGCTGTTGGACGAGTGAGGATCATAGGTCTGGCTCTTAAGGGGCCCAAGGGGCTCCTGCACTGAGTCATCATCACTGCAATGAAGTCATGGCGACATGACCCAACACTGACCTCTATGGTTTCCCCCCCAACAAGATGAGAAATGAGAGATTCCACTCCATGTATGGATTCAAAATGAATCCAAATAGATCAAAGATTCAAGTAAAGAGTCAAGACAGTGTATGAAAACAAATGGACAATAATTGTTTTCCAACTTAACAGAAATTAGGTTGGAAAACTAACTACATTTTTCAGAAGAAAGCTCACAAACGTCACAACTTTTTGTAATATAGTACTGCACGTGTCTACCAATGGTGTGTGTACAAAAGTGATTCACTTTGCTAAATGGTTTCTTTGAATGCACTTTTTAAATAAGACAATTCAATGATTGAATTTCGTGGACTGATTCATTTCAGTAAGATACTTTAAAAGTGATCCTCACTATTTGTAAAAACCAAACCAAAACTTTTAAATGTTTACTGTATCTAGCTACCTTTTCCAAATGATAGCTTGACAGTACCTAGTTTATGTCTATTAGTTTAAAACTGAGTAGCTACAGCGTCAAAATCCTGAACACCACTGGGAATGAAGGCCAAGTCTAAACTTCTGACGTTACGTGTTTCAGCCAGTTTTCAGCCTCTTCTCAGACACTTTTCACAGGAAGCGCTCATCTTCCCCTCTTGTTTTAATTTGCAGTGCCCTTTGCCTGTGCATTTTAACACGGTCCAGCCTTGTGCTCTCACTTCAGACAGGAAAGGATCTGCATCTCATTATGCGCTGTGGTTTTGCCACAGACAGACTACAGACACACACTCTCTCTCTCTCTCTTTAACACACACAGACACAGAGACATGGGAACCAAAGGTTTGCAAGAACAAAGACCAGGGTACGATAAGACATTAAAGAACACAGAGGAAAACAGTGAGACAGAGTGAGCTGCTTTCAAAAGGAATGATGAAAGAAAAGGAAACGATATGGAGAATATAGAAATAAACTGCATCTGATGCAGCATGTGTTGCACATTCATCTACCATCTGCTCTGATTGGAATCCTCAGCTGTGTGGAATTCTCAATGAAACACAAGCTTACAGTAAACTACACACTTCAAGTGAATACTGTATACTAAGGTTGGGGATCAAGAACCGTTCTTCCTCAGAACAGCGTTTTCTGATTTGCCACATCATTACTAATATATTATAATATATTATATATATTATAATATAATATTTTAATTTTTTATTTTATTTTTTTTCTCTCTCTTTTTGTGTTACATGATTTATGACATGTTTTCTAAATGACTGACCGAAGAAAAATAAATAAAAAAAAAAAAAAAAAGATAAATGATATATATATATATATATATATATATATATATATATAAAATATAAACCAAATACATTTCTTTCTTGGCTAATTTGATTGACTTAGAAGGTAAGAAGTTAAATAATAATAAATAAATAAATATAATATATATATATATATATATATATATATATATAAATGCATAAGAACTGCAGTGGAAGGTTGATCTGTAAAAGTTGTTCGCATTACTTTGTGGGATACAATATTTGTGTGCTCTGGTTGTATATTGCATATTTTAGAAAATGTAGTAGATTATCATCATTATAGAAAATATGCATGTTGAAATCATTCTAATTTGCTGATTTGGTGCTCAAGTTAAATGTCTTATTAATATCAATGAAACCAGTTGTGCTTCTTAATTATTGTTGCGATACATTTTTTTCAGGATTCTTTACACAGATCAGCATTTATTTGAATATTTTATTTAAAAAAATGAGATATATTCAATCAGAAGTATTAATTACTTCTGTTATTAATTACTTCGATATATTGATCAGAAGTATTAATTTATTTCAGAAAAAAACAAAAAAATCTGCTTTTGAACATTTCAAACACTCTATGCCATTCAAGTGACTGACTGTATTTCACCAGTAGTGGGCACTCTTCCATATTCCTACTTGCTTCCTGTACTATCTACTGTTTATCCAATGTGTCTGTGCGTCACACAACAGAGTAAGTGCTGACTGATATAAAACAGCTCAAAAATAAAGGCTTGGAGGTAAATACCCATAATACTTCATAGAAATTAGGCTTTAAAGAGAACAGATGTGGACAAGATTGTTGACTCATCTTGAAGAGTCAGCAGCTCTGACTGCTGTTATTTGAGTCCAGCTGACACTGGAAATATCCTGTTTTTGCTCTCAGCTGTTTCCACATGTATGAAAATACTACAGACACATGAGAACAAAACCAGCAAGAAGTCTCTTAATTTAGAAGCCCACCTTGTGGCTCGGTGTCTGTGTGTTTGGGGCTTCCTCTGGCTCTTCGATCTGGCCTCTTGTTGCCAGGGCTTCCTCCTCCTCCTCCTCCTCCTCCTCCTCCAGAGCTGCTGTGGCTCTTTCCATGGCCGTTCGCCATGGTGGTGCAGGCCGTGCTGTTCTTGTAGCTGCTGGAAAGCGAGCTGGTCACCTGACTTATACCTGTACGCTCCACTGGTTGTTTGATCTTCTTGGGTGGAGGTTTACAGTACTCCTCATGACCCATGAAAGTGGAGATGTTATACAGCGGGATGATCTCTGAGATAAGGAAAAGATCATAATTACACTACAGAAAGTACAAAACAATTGACACAAAGTAAAAGTGAAAATATTACACAAATCAACATGTATTTAAAAAAATATATAATATTACTAATGTATTTTATATTGAATAAACAATTTATATTCTAGTCTACAAAACTAATTTAAGTGTTGTCTACATGAGCACAAAAACATTTTTAAATTAATCAGTTATCTTATATTTTAGCTCAATTTTGCCATTTTAATTTTAGTGTAGTACATGTGTACATGTGTATATATATATATATATATATATATATATATATATATATATATAATTTGTTTTATATTTTTTTATAGAAAATAAATTGTATATATAAATTTACTAAAATAATTTTGTCAAGGATTGTATACGCACAAAACCTAAACTAACACACTCTTATATTTTAGTTTATTAAATTGACATTTTAGTTTAGTAAAGAAATGCATATATTTGATATTTTACAATATTTTATATAAAATATAAATATATTTCGAATTAAATTTTTTTTTCAGTTTAAGTACATTTATATTAAATTTACGACAAGAGAGAAACATCAAGCATGTTTAAACTTTTCATTCCTAATGTATCTTTGGATTGGCTGCGTTTTATAGCTTTGTGTGGTACTTTGCTTTCATGTTGAGCCAGAATAGGACAGTGTTATTATGATTGAGTATAAAGACATGGTTGCCCATCCTCACTGAAGTATGCGTTTAAATAGCAGACTAAAGGTGTCCTGGTCTATTCAGTTATGGACAATGAAGCTTTACCTTCCGGGTAAATAGGGGGCAGTCGATGCTGATAGAACTGGTGTGGGGACACATCACCAGGGCTGACGGGAGGGTAGTAAGACGTATGTGAGGCTGGAATAAAGTGTGGGTGCGTCAGGTATGGAGGGTGAATGTGGTGGCTCGGGGACAGAGCCGGAGAGTAATTGGGGGGGAAACATTCGGAATGAGGTGTCACCACAACCCTCCGCACGCCCGTATTGTCCTCCAGAACCTGAAAATACAAACATGCTCAGACGTCAAGCCAAACAATTCCCTACATCACATGCTCTCTGATGTCAGCCATTAGTAGCCCAACCCAACACACAATACAGCCCGTCTCTGGATATAATGTGCCAGCAGTTGCAACCACAGACGTAACGTGCCACTTTAAACAAAGGGCAGGAATGCAAAAATAAACAAGGCCTTCTAATAGAACGGCTATCAAATACATTCCAGTGGAGGAAAGCGTGCATGAAAGACGCTTACAGGAATTACAGATATGCTGGTACAGTTCACATGGGAGAAATCATCCAACTGACAGCCACTTCTAACCCTGGGTGATCCTAAATTCATATTGGTCACACAGGGTTAGAAAGTGAGGGCAGTGACGACAGCAGAAACCAAACTAAACTGCTCAGTTATGCTTATACTGGAGGAAAGAACTTAAGATCTGCAGGGCCTTCTGGTGAAATCTATATGTTCTAGATTCAAAGAGTAAATATATACTGTATTACTATATTATTGTATTATATATATATATATATATATAGTATATCTATCATATATAGTATATAGATATATGTAATATATATATATATATATATATATATATATATATATATATATATATTACTATATGGCTATTTATTCATTAATATTAAACATAAATCTTGAATTTTAGTGACAAAACACTGTGAAACTTATAATACACAACTCAAGCATATCCGGACAGGTAATTCACTCATAAATGGTACAAATAGTACCAATAATAACAAGATGATTAATGTCTGTACAGTAATCAAAAGTTCAGTAAGATATATTTTTTTAAAGAAATCAATACTTTTATTCAGCAAGGATGCATTAAATTAAACTAAAGTGATGTCTATTTCAAATAAATGCTGTTCTTTTGAACGTAGTTTTCAACATTGCTAATAATAAGAAATGTTTCTTGAGCAGCAAATCAGCATATTAGAATGATTTCTGATCATGTGACACTGAAGACTGGAAAAATGATGCTGAAAATTCTGCTTTGCACCACAGAAATAAATTAAATTTAAATATTAGGATAGAATTTTTATTTTATTTTAAAAATGGTAATAATATTTCACAATATTTTTGTTTTTACTGTGTTTTTGATCAAATAAATGCAGCCTTGGTGAGCATAAGAGACTTCTTTTGAAATGATTAAAAAATAAATCTTACTGACCACACATTTTTTAACGATAATGTATGTTGACTTTACATAAGTTCATATGGATTTTTTGTAGTGTTTTTTTTTATGCGGCCACATGCTCGTGCAACAAAACTACATCTCATTACTTTTTGTGGCAAAAGAGCATCAATTACACAGATAATGAGCATTGTTATCACTTCATTTCGACGCACTCATGATAAAAAGCTTCCATCTTGTTGTAAAGTTGAAAGAGAGAAATTTCCACCAAACATGGGCTGGTCCAGCCCTTCACATTCGGGTGGAACGCGCTAATGAATCATATTTACACGAGTGACCTTTTGTGCCATTAAAGCCCCCTCACTGATTTATTACACCCACAACTCGAACACTTTTTCCTGCCCTCTCCGCAAGACTTTTTTGACCTTCCTATTGAAATGTCACCGCCGCTGACCTTTAGCAAACTCTCGCCTGCACCGTTCAGTAACGATGAATAACTTGGAATTTTGTGCACGTCCGTCCTGTTGTTTGTTTGGTTGTCATATACTGAAAACACGATTTATGAGCATATTTCTAAGAAACAGATATTTGCTAGCAAGGGGTGAAATCACATCCTCATTGTGCAAGAGAGAGAAGTTTCGCCACCCCAATGCACAACCCTAACCCATTCCTGCCGGTTACCTGGGAGACGTAGCCAGGAGGAACGTGGATTGGTGGAATGGAACCATTCGGTGACATCATGGGAACTTCAGCAGGCCCTAAGGCAGAAAGAAAAAAGAGAAGAAATCTATCAATCAACCAGCAACACAATGCTGACTCCGCCCCTTCATTCCATCACGTAATGCAAGGCCAAGCAAAGAAAATTCTAGGGGCAACGAGAAAACAGCACTGCTTTGGTAATAAGATATGCATATGCTTAGGAGATTATTTACGGAAGATACTCGTGATACAAGTGAGATGAGCTTCATTGTTTTCTATTCAAGCAAAATACTATACTAATACTAAATACTATACTATATAGCAAATCTAAACTGTATGATATTTATATATATATAAAATTCATCCAACTTCATCTGCATACATACAGTGAACTCTAAATCGCTAAAGCTATAAACACTAGAGAGCAAATCTCCATGATAGTTTATATTGATGCAAATTGTTAACTATATTAATCACATAGTATATTTCATTTTATCGTCATATATACAGTACAATCACCTAAAGCAATATATATACACCATATAGCTAATCTCAATTTCTCGATTGTTTTTATTGTTGCAAAATGAGAACTATATTACAGTGCAGCAACATATTTAAATCTATATAGTACATCCAACTTTACAGTACATACAGCATGCTTGCAAAAAGTGATACTATACAGCACATTTCAACAGCTCGACTGTTTATGTTGTTGCAAATGTGAATACATATTTTTGCTAAACGTGACAATAAGGCATAAAGATATTATATACATTAACATCATGATTTTCTGTAACGCTGCTTTGAAATAATGTGTATCATAAGAAAGAGCTTAACCAATAAAACTGACTTGACATCATTTTTGACCCACTATATCCACCCCACAGGCTTATGTTGGTACTGTGGTATTTGGTTAAACAGTTTAAGGCATTGATTAAGGCATCACTGCAGTCAACAAAGTAGAAATAGAGTCATCAGGTCCAACTGGTGCGCCGCAGGAAGAAACGGCCACTGCCGGCACACAAACCCTCTCTGTTATGGCTCTCGTGGGACGCGGGTGAATGAAACCCCTCCATCCACCAAACCGACTGTTTATTGTCAGAATATAAAGCCTAGAGAAGCAACTCATGGCTCGGTACCCTCATCCAGGACTCGTGTAGAGGGCCACCAGCTGTTTTAGACATCTCCCTCTCCTCCAGAGCCTGCAGGAACCGTGGCGTGACAGCCTCCGGCGCACTAAATCAGCCTGATGAATTTTACAGTTTCTCCTCAGTTTCTCCCCCATCAGTCAATACCAGGGTCAGTATCTCTCCAGCTAGCGGTTGCCGGGTTTGAATAAGACCCTGTTTGTGCTTGTATTGAAGGGGCTTCACAGGAGTTTCTTCAGCGGAGGGGACGGGGGAAGGGTTTGTGTACACAGCGATGTGTGTGGGTCGTTTCACCGGGACATGAGTGTATACGCACGGCAGCTTAAAATAACCTTTTCACGGGGCGACGTGTACAGAGGACAACAAAATCCATTCAGATTGTTGTGCGTGTTTGGAAAGGGTCTCGCGCAGGTATGCAGCTGCAGACCTCCTCCTCTCTCGCTCCTGTGAAAGTTGAGGAGCTGGGTTTGAGGTTTTGGTGGGGGGAGGGGGTTAGATGACAGAGTGACAGGATTGTATCACAGGCTCTTAATATGAACGGCCCTTTCATCCTCGACCCACAAAAAGAGAGAGAGACCATGAGAGAAAAGAGAGAGAGAGAGAAAAAAAAACTCAACACATTCCTCTACTTCAATTGAAGGGGTGGAAGGGATGGATGGCTTGAAGGCTAAGGATAGAAAGACAGAACAGAACTGAAATACTAAGGCTTAAAAAAATGCAATGAAATTAATCCCATGATCAGTGTTATTACAAATCCTTTATTAACTGAAATAAAGCTGACATAAAATAAAATATAAATATTAGATTAAAAACCTACACAAAAATTAAAAATGTTGCCCTGGCATCTAAAAACACAAAAAAATTGAAAAAATTAAAAATAATATAATATTAAAGCCAATTCAAAGTATTAATACATACTATAATAGTATATAAATAATACTAAAACAAGACAAGCCCCCAAATAGAGATAATTCAAAAGATATTACATTATTCTAGAGGAGTAGTAAAGCATTGAAAAGTCACAAATGTGGCTTAAGAAGTTAATATATTATTTGTTTGCTTGTTTATTTGTTCGATTTATCTCCAAATCACTGTACATAAGTCTGGCCAAATGTCCGCAGCAAATTATTTTGCAATAGAGTTTATCAATCTTTCTGAGATTTATATATTGGGATAAAAATATTGGGATATAAATTAGAAAAATAAATTAAAATGCACATGTCAGAGGGAATTAATTTTTATAGTTCAAATTTTTTTTTTTTTAAATGGAAAAAAAAAACCTTGTCACTTTAAATTAGGGTCTAATTCTCACTACTATTAACAACGACTTTTGGCTCAAACTCCTAATTACTGCTTATTAATAGTTAGTAAGGTATTAAGGTATAGGTATTGTGTAGGATTAAAGGATGTAGAATATGGTCATGCAGAATAAGGTATTAACATGTGCTTAATAAGTACACTCTAAAAATTGCTTGGTTGTTTTAACCCAACTCTGGGTCAAATATGGACAAACACAGCCATTGGGTTACATTTTTAACCCAACGTTTGGGTTTGTCCATGTTTGACCCAAAGTTGGGTTAAAACAACCGATATTGGGTTAGAACAGCCAATATCATAGTAATATGCATGCAAAAAGCAACTGGTCAGAAATGGACCCTAAACTAAAGTGTTACCAAATATTTGTACAACTTTATAAAATTAATTACAATCACATGAAAAATAATGTCACATGCTCCTAACCCGTGCAAACCCGCTGCCACGATGCTAGGGTGTCATGGAAGGTTGCTAGGGTGTTGCTAAGGTGTTTCTAGGTGGTTGCTAGATGAATGCTAACTGGCTCAAGTAGAAAGAGTTTCTATGATTCTGGTCTATAAGATTTTTTTAGCCCATTTATAATCTGCCAAGCAAAACAAATTCTGACCACTTAGAAAAGTAATAGCACACATTACCTCATCAAGCCGCGATTTGTGGTATCATAACAAAAGTTGTGTGCAGGTTAATACTTAGGGAAAGCGCAAGTTTGTTCGCATCCATAACGGGAAGTATGGGCAATTGTGAAAGTTTGAAGAGCAGCGAGAGAGACAGACAGAGGTAAGTCAAGCTTCTGGATTGCCAGGCTTCTCAGGAGGCTGTCGAGGAAGAGAGCCTCTTCAGCAGAACAAACCGTTCTTTGTGCTCCAGAGAGAAGCTCTCTCCCCCACTGCAGGGCCTGCTGGGTACTTCATAAAGTCCACTCAGTCGGTCCTGGGGGCCGCTGACACACCACCAAAGTACGTGTGTGTGCATGTCCTCATGAGTGTGTATTCTTGCTTTTACTCCAGATAAACTCTACAGAGAAAAAGCTGCCAAGTGGTGATTTCGGTTTTGTTCTTTTTACAGAAACAGTGATTGACAGCACGTTCATGTGCACAAGAGGAGCAAAACAGAAGTTCAGTGTTCCACAAACTATCAGTTCCGAAGTAAGATCCACTAATTCACATTGGAGGGCCAGCTTGGCCAGACAGGGAGACGACGGGCAGAAAAGAGCAAAAGAAAGGGATGTTTCTGGAAGGAATGTGTTGCATCAATCTGAGGGCCACTGGGCAAAGAAACAAAGCGCTTTTTTTCTGCAAGGGATTGCAAATCTGATCTGTGTTTTTGAGCAAGCAAATTTTGGATGGTGTGTGTGTGTGTGTAGTATGCCATAGGAGAGGAAAATCAAACTTGAGATCGCTAACATCATTGTTTCTCCTGCGCAACAAGACGAATATATGGATAGCAGATGGAGACTTTTGATGAGATTTTATACTTGTTTTGAATTTCTCAAACTGAGAAAACAACCCTAATGTTCCTCACAAATAGATATCACAAAACTCTCAAACTGCTCAGATTTCCCATGATACCTTGATTCAAAACTAGAGCTGCATGACTAATTGTTAAAAAGAGCGCAATCTCGATTCAAACACCTTCACAATCTTATTTCTAAATGACAACAATTCATATACGTCTATTAAACCTTTGACAAGTACGATCACAGTGAACATTCAAATCTGCGTTGGCGCTGCCGCTGACCCAGTGAGAGCAGTTGTCAAAGGTATAAAACAGCTTCATAAAGCTTCATATTTTTTATTAGAGCCCGACCGATAAAGGATTTTGAAGGCCGATACCGATACAAATATTTTTGGGTTTTAAAATCCGATATTCCGATATATCGGCCAATATTTGATTTATTTATTTATTTATTTTAAACTGGACATGATAGTCACAAATTTTGTCATGCTTATTTGAGTTAAGAGAACTGATGGGGATGTTCTTATAATTGTTATTCAAGCAATGTATGTATCGTGGCCAACTCAACGAGTGTTGCCAACAGAAACGGTGTAGAGTGCCCTCTGGTGGACAAACTATACAACTCCAACACTCATGACATGGTTCAAGCGTGTTTCGTCTGTTTTTATTTTATTTTTGAAATATTCATTTATCGGCCATTATAACTGCCGATATCGTTAGTTTGGAAAATGCCTAATATCGGCTGATAATATCGGTCTGCCGATATATCGGTCTGGCTCTATTTTTTTATTTTTTTTTTAACAATAATTCAAATTATCACAGTAGTACTGGGATATAGGCTTATAGTTTAGATATAAACACTGATTTATACAATAGAAATCAATATACCGGTAGATTACATTACCTTTTAAAATAAAAATTGACACTTCAAATAAAATACTGTATATCAAATAGATCATTACACAAGTAGGTGGCGACAAATGACTTAATGTATTTGTCATTGAATCATTCATTCAAGAACTTCGATTCGTCCAGTAATAAAACAAGTTAAGTCATTGAATCATTCATTCAACCCAATTTTTGTCAGAAGCTTTAGTAAATTGCATTTTATTTAGTTTGGTTGTCTATTCAGAATCGTGGGA